GTGTGTGTGTGTGAGTGTGTGTGTGTGAGTGTGTATACCTGCAGTGTTTGTGTGTGATGTAACTCGGCTGATCCAGGTGTTTCCAGGAAGGGAAATGTGTCTTCATAAACCTCTCCATGACTAATGTACACCGCCGCACACACACTAGACAACCTACACACACACACACACACACACACGTTACATCACCACTCAAGCAATAAGCCATAAGAGCTTCAACCAACACTATGAACAGTGCAAACAAATCTGTTTATATGCAAATAAAAACGGTTTAATTCTTGTTTTTATAGAGATTTTTTTTTTTTCAGTTTTAAGTTCTTCAGTGAATTTTTTGTAAATGTATTATGTGCTCTAATTATTTTTGTTCTTTAAAATATTTTATAATGGTTTTAATTTCACTATAGTTAGTAATTTTAACACTTCAACTTAAAGACTACTTTGTTTCACTTATATGCCAACAATTTCTAATTTTCATTTAGTTCAAGTTTCTCCATCTAATATTTATATTTTGCATTATTCCATCTTCATTTCAATTAACAAAAATGCTTTCTAATAGATTTAGTTTTGGTTAACAATAGTAGCAATAGCAATAGTTTCACTCTGATATGCTTCATAACAGGGCAGAAAACACACATCTCATGGCTTAATGCTGTATAAAGGACACAAATGCTCAATTATTAATTAAGGTAACATTTTATTTTAAGGTGTCCTTGTTACACAAGTTACTTGTACTTACTATTATAATTACAATAAATTATGCATAATTACATGCAAGTAACCCTAAGCCAAACCCTAATCCTAACCATATAGTAAGTACATGTAGTTAATTAATACTACTCAGTACTTAAATGTGTAATTACACTGTAATAAGGACACCTTAAAATAAAGTGCAACCATAAATAAATGAACTGATACTAATCATTACCCTGCCAGGCGGTGTTGATGTGTGCGGTTCTGTCTCCTGATTGGTGGGCTGAGACACACAGGCAGTCGAGCGCGTGAGTTTGGTCTCTGAGCTGCAGCGTGGCGTGGGTCGAGTCCAGCTCCAGAACCCCCAGTAACAGCAGCGGCTCCGGGGCCGCATCCGTCAGCGGGACCTTGTGAACGGACCAGGACAGTGCCGCGTTCAGCTCCAGCGCCGTCATGTGAGCCGCGGACGCAGGCAGGAGAGACGCCAGCGAGAGCGATGCCCACGCTTCACACCTCATCCAATCAGACAGCTGCCTCAGCGACCACAGCGCCGCAGACGGCCACCACACACAGAACTGACAGAGACAGACCATTACTACACACACTCATTTAAAATCAATCAGTCAGGGTTTAAAAGAAGGGTTTAAATTTTTTTATTAATTAACATATAACTGTGTGTGTGTGTGTGTGTGTGTGTGTCACTGTGGTAACAGGGCATGTGTGTGTGTGTATTACTGTGGTAACAGGGCATGTGTGTGTGTGCTACTGTGGTAACAGGGCATATGTGTGTTACTGTGGTAACAGGGCACGTGTGTGTTACTGTGGTAACAGGGCATGTGTGTGTGTATTACTGTGGTAACGGCATATGTGTGTTACTGTGGTAACAGGGCATGTGTGTGTGTATTACTGTGGTAACGGCATATGTGTGTTACTGTGGTAACAGGGCATGTGTGTGTGTATTACTGTGGTAACAGGGTATATGTGTGTTACTGTGGTAACAGGGCATGTATGTGTGTTACTGTGGTAACAGGGCATGTGTGTGTGTTACTGTGGTAACAGGGCATGTGTGTGTGTTACTGTGGTAACAGGGCATGTGTGTGTGTTACTGTGGTAACAGGGCATATGTGTATTACTGTGGTAACAGGGCATGTGTGTGTGTTACTGTGGTAAAAGGGCATATGTGTGTTACTGTGGTAACAGGGCATGTGTGTGTGTTACTGTGGTAACAGGGCATGTGTGTGTTACTGTGGTAACAGAGCATGTGTGTGTTACTGTGGTAACAGAGCATGTGTGGGTGTTTGTAAGCTATGGTGATAAAGGGTGTGTGTGCGTTACCATAGTAACAGGGCACTGGTGTGGCTCCTGTATCATCTCTCTGTAAATGTTTCTCTTGTTTTCTGTCTTCTGTTCAGCATCACACACAAAGTCCAGCAGCCGCTCGGCGACCACACACACTCTCTCCGCTCTCACCCAGCGAGGACACAACCTGACACACACACACACACACAGGTTAATAACGTGACACTGACTGTGCATTTGAGGTGAAAAATCTAATTGTGATTTTTCTGATAAAAATTGTGATTGCGATTTAAATCTTAACACTTTAAATACAAATTCAGATATTCAATTTTATTAAAAAATTTAAATAACAATACTACTATATATGGCTAAATAAATGAATACATTTTCAAACTTTAAAGCATCAAGCCTTTATTGTGTTTTCTTCACTCACCTCTCAGCGACGGCGTTCTGACAGTAACAGAGCCAGAGATACTGCGACGCGCCCAGATTCTTCTCCAGCAGGAGGCACTGCAGCGGCCCGTGTGTCCCCGACACCTCCACCTTTGAACTCAGGCGGCTGAAGGCGGTGATCTGCAGACTGGAGCGCAGACACGCGCACAGAACCACACGCGGTGCAAACGGGGAAGCGCGGTACATGAAGTGAACATTGTGAAGCTGAAGACAAACAACAGAGAAACATTCTGATTGTCGGTACCGCTGTTTTGTTTAAAGCCTTTAAAACAGTGTCTTATTCACAGAAATAATGAATCTACTACTGAATTTTGTGATGACATCACACTCGCCTGAATCTCCGCCCCTGGCCTCAAGCCGCCGCCCCATTTCTGAGCCGGCTGATAGGCCAGACAAAGCCCCACCTGTCCGTCAATCTCATAAAGCCCCGCCTCTGCATTCAAAATCTTTGTGACTGTGCCCTGTCAATCAGACACACTGTTACTACAGAACCCAGTCACAGCACAGGTCAAAGGTCACACCTGTTTGCTTAAAGGAAATTTTTCCGGGTATATGAATATGAAATAAGCGTGTCCTGCAATATTTCATTACTTCACAACTATCTTAAGCAGTATTTTCGGTAACGCTTTACAATAAGGTTCATTAGTTAACATGAACTACGAATGAACAATACTTCTACAGCATTTATTAATTGTAGTTCATGTTAATTTCAGCATTTACTAATGCAATATTAAAATCACAATTTGTGTTTGTAAACATTAGTTAATGCACTATGAACTAACATGAACAAACAACTGTATTTTTATTAACTAACATTAACGAAGCTTAATAAATCGTGTAATAAATGAATTGTTCATTGTTCGTGATATATATATATATATTAGTGCTGTCAATCGATTAAAATTTTTTTACTAATTAATCGCACATTTTTCTGAAATTAATCGCGGTTAATCCCACCTAACATTAAAGTTTTTAAATATACTTTTATATTACAATAATTTCACATTCAATCTTCAAATTAATCTACAAACAACATAAAGACAGTATATTATCTTTTTTTAATATATTTTTTTATTGTATCTTTTTTTTATGGCTGAAGGCCAGTATCAATGATATCCCACCCCACCCCCGTGGTACTGTGGTACTTATGACTGGTTTTGTGGTCCAGGGTCACATATCATTATTTATCTTTGTTCAGATTCATCATCAGAGTCACAGCCGGGGTGAGATATAATTTCTGTGGGATTTATTTATACTGACCGTGATGAACACAGGCACTGAAGATCCTTCTTCACTGAGGACGAGGCAGAAGAACCGTTTCCCGCGGATCACCAGCAGAGGACAGACGACGCTCACCTGGCCGCTGACGCACACACACACCTGATCCTCACACCTGACACATACACACACACACACACACAGACATACACACACACAGACACACACACACACA